CAGAGTCAGTACCGACTCACAGCGACCCTATGCACAACAGAACAAAAAACTGCCTGGTTCTGGGCCAACCTCACAATCATTGTGACCCTTAAGCCCATTGATGTTGCCACTTTGCCCAATCCATCTCATCATGAGTGATTATGAAATTTTAACTGCGAAACTGCTGAGAATCTTGGTCCAGTCAAGTTGATACTAAACCTTAACTATCATAACATTTTTCTGGCATTTTCTGTTTTTAGCCAGGATCCATGTAACATCAGCAATGATATCACTTTTCCATGTCATCGTCTGAATGTGGCTTGAATTTCGGCAGTTCTTTGTCCATGTACTGCAAAAATAGTTTTTTAAAGTATTGTCAGCAAAAGATTATTTATTTGCATTTGATATTAATGATGTTGTTCTTGTTAGCTGCCATTGAATCAGTACCATCTCATAGCGACTCTATGTACCACAAAATGAAACAATGCCCGGTCCTGGGCCAACCTCAATATTGTTGCCACGCTTGAGCCCTTTGATGCTGCCACTTTGCAAATCCATCTCACTGGGGGTCTTTCTTTTTTTCTCTGACCCTCCACCCCACCAAAAGCAAACATGATATCCTTCTCCAGTGACTGATCCCTCCTGACAATATGTCCAAAGTATGAAACATGAAGTTTGGCCATCCTGGTCTCCAAGGAGCACTCTGGCTGCACTTCTTCCAATACAGATCTGTTGGTTCTTTTGGCAGCTCATGGCACTTTCAACATTCTCCTCCAACACCATAATTCAAAAGCATCAATTCTTCTACAGTCTTCCTCATTCACTATCCAGCTTTTGCATGCATATGAGGTTATTGAAAATACCATGATTTGGGTCAGACGCACATTGGTCTTCAAGCTGACACTTTGCTCGTCAACACTTTAAAAAGGTCTTGTGCAGCAGATTTGCCTAATGCAATATGTCATCTGATTTCTTGACTGCTGCTTCCATGAGTGTTGATGGTTGATCCAACAAGAATGAAGTCCTTGACAATTTCAATCTTTTCTCCGTTGATAACAATGTTGTTTATTGATATTGGTCAGTAATTTTCACACTCTGTTAGATTGCTTTTCTTAGGAATGGGTTGTTGTTGTTGTCAGGTGCCATCAAGTCGGAACCGACTCATAGCGACCCCATGCACAGCAGAACGAAACAATGTCCGATCCTGGGCCAACCTCACTACCGCTGCCACACTTGAGTGCATCAATGATGCCACCTGGCTGATCCATCTCGTTGGGGGTCTTCCTCTTTTTCTCTGACCCTCCACCCTACCCAGCATGACATCCTTCTCCAGCGATTGTTTCCTCCGGACAATATGTCCAAAGTAGGAGAGACGAAGCTTAGCCATCCTGGCCTCCAAGGAGCACTCTGGCTGCACTTCCTCCAAAACAGATTTATTGGTTCTTTTGGCAGTCCATGGCACTTTCAGTACTCTCCTCCAACACCACAACTCAAAGGCATCAATTCTTCTACGATCCTCCTTATTCACTGTCCAGCTTTCGCATCCATATGAGGCTATTGAAAACACAATGGCCTGGGTCAGGCGCACCCTAGTCCTCAAGCTGACATCTCTACTCTTCAACACTTTAAAAAGTTCCTGTGCAGCAGATTTGCCCAGTGCAATACGTCGTCTGATCTCTTGACTGCTACTTCCGCGAGTGTTGATAGTTGATCCAAGAAGAATGAAGTCCTTGACAACTTCAATCTCTTCTCCATTGATAAGAATGTTGTTTATTGGTCCAGTGGTGAGGATTTTTGTTTTCTTGACATTTAGATGCAATCCATATCGAAGGCTGTGCTCTTTAATCTTCATAAGTAAATGTTTCAAGTCCTCTTCACTCTCAGCGATCAAGGTCGTATCATCTGCATATCGCAGGTTGTTAATGAGTCTTCCTCCAATCCTGATGCCACGTTTTTCTTCATAGAACCCAGCTTCTCGTATTATTTGCTCAGCATACAGGTTGAATAAGTATGGTGAAAGAATACAACCCTGTCTCACACCTTTCCCAATTTTAAAACATTCAGTGTTCCCATGTTCTGTTCGAACAACTGCTTCTTGATCTAGGTACAGATTTCTTAGAAGTTTCTTAGGAATGGGTACAAATATGGATTTCATCCAGTTAGTTGACTTAGTAGCTGTCTTCCATATTTCTTGGCATACAAGAACGAGAACTTCCAGTGTTGCATCCAATTGTTAAAAAATCTCAGCTAACATTCTGTCAAGTCCTTTTGCAGCTTGGACTTCTTCCTTCAATACCGCTAATTCTTGATCAGATGCTATGTCCTGAATTTTTTTAATGTGACTCAGTATGTTCCTTCCATCTTCTTTTGATGTATCCTACATCATTAAATTTTGCCCACAAAATCCTTCAGTATTATAACCCAATGTTTTCATTTTTTCTTCAGTTCTTTCAGCCTGAGAAATGCTGAGCATATTCTTCCCTTTTGGTTTTCTAATTCCAGGTCTTTGCACATATCATTAGTTGACTTTGTCTTCACAAGCTGTTCTTTGAATTTTTCATCAATTCTTCCATTTACTTTAGCTACTCTAAGCTCAGGAGCAAGTTTCAGAGTCTGTGCTGATATCCATTTTGGTCTTTTCTTTCTTTCCTGTCTTCTTTTGTTTTCTTCCTGTGTGATATCCTTTATACCATCCCATTATTCATCTGGTATTTGGTCATTAGTATTCAATGTGTCAAATCTATTCTTGAGATGGTTCTAAATTCAGGTAGAAAATACTCAAGCTGTACTTTGGTTCTCATGAACTTGTTCTCAATTTCTTCAGTTTCAACTTCAATTTGTATAATAAGCAACTAATTCTCTATTACACATTCAGCCCCTGGCTTTATTATGACTGATGATATTGAGCTTCTCCATCTTCTCTGTCCTTAAAAACATAGTAAATTTGATTCCTGTACATTTCATCTGATGAGGTTCAGTCACCATTATGTTGCTGAATAAAGGTGTTTGGAATGAATAAGTCGGTGGTCTTGCAAAATTCTATGATGAGATCTCTAGCATAATTTCTAACACCAACACAATATTTTTCTACTAGAGATCCTTCTTTGTTTTTCTACTAAAGATCCAGCTTTCACATTCTAATCACCAATAATTATAAAGCACATTGCATGTTTGATCAGTTTCTTACTGCAGAAGTTGGGTAAAATCCTCGTTATGTCCTCTATGGCATCAGTGGTTGCTGGATAAATTTACGTAATTATTGACATATGAGTGGTAGAAATTCCACAATAATTTGAAATTCTGTTTTACATTTCCAATCTTTGATCAGAATTCTTTTATAGAGTCTTAGATCAAAATGTTTAATAATGGTATTCGGCACCATCTACTTCTGGTCTCATGGAAAAGGAAGAATTTATTCATTGAGGCAATTAAACATGCATTCCAGTTCTTCCTCAGATTCTCAACTCTTCTTCCCCTGCTACTGTTCCAGGCAGACAGAATGAATTGTTGTACCTTATGGCCTCCAAAGCACAGTTTTTAAGACTCCAGTCACAACAAAACAATCAGTTCAGTACTTTAAAAAATGTAATCACATATGTTTATATAATGAAGGTGCAAATATCATAAAAGTTAACTACAAAGCCTAGCCTTGCTTTTAACTTATCTCTATTTTATCACAATTCCTGTTGATGGATTAAGACTTGAGAGCAGTGAGTGGGAAGAGGATAGGGTAATGTGGAAGAAAAGGAAAAAAGTGGGATCTGTCTGCAGAGGTTTCCAGAGAGCAAGTCCTGGAGCAGATGAGCACAGGAGGTAAAGATAAAAAGACAAGGGACAGTACATAGGCTGAGAGCTAGAGAGCACCGCCTTCAGCAACTCTTTACAGCTTTCCCCTTCACAGATCATGAGTCTTCAACACTCCTACTGGGAACGAGGTATGGGGCTGGCACCAATAGGAACAGTTGTTATTGTTAAGTGCCATGGAGTCACTTCCGACTCCACATATACAGAAACCTGTATAGGGTTTCTGAGGAGTGACTGGTAGTGAACCACTGACCTTGCTGTTCAAACCAGTTAGGAAACAATAAACTCTGAGAAACACATTTCCTTACAGCATGTAGATGCCTGTGAATGCACATTGCAAAATCTATAGGAGGTTTCTAGAGTTAAGCTTAAGACAACCTTGTGCAGCAACAAAGACTACTTTTAGCTACATTGGATGGCATGTGCAAAAATTCTACATATTAACAAAAAACTACATATTTAGCAGCAATCATGCAGGGCCAAAAGGAGCCCTGGTAGCGTTGTAGGGTAAGTATTGGACTGCTAACTACAAGGTTGACAGTTCAAAACCACCAGCCACTCCAAGGAAGAAAGAGGAGGCTTCTGCTCCCATAAAGATGTTGGTGGTAGTTTTGTGCTGTGGAGTCAATTCCGACTCGTGGCAACCCTGAATAGGGTTTCCAAGACTGTAAATCTTTATGGGAGCAGAAAGCCTCACCTTTCTCCCATGGAAGAGCTGGTAGTTTCAAACTGCTGACCTTGAGTGTAGCAGCCCAACTCGTAACTACTACCCTACCAGAGTTCTCTGTAGGGTTTATACCTTTGGAAACCTATATAGCATCGTTTTGAGTCAGAATCAACTTGATGGCAAGTGGATTGCTTTTGTTATTGTTTATGCAGGAGTGAAGAATGCCAAGGCTCCTGCTTCTCAAAAGAAAACATTTTAAGTCCTATTTTCCTTTAAAGAAGCCTTGGCAGTATTGTAGGATAAGCACTGGACAGCTAATAGCAAAGTCAGCAGTTCTAACCGACCAGCCGCCGTTCGGAAGGAGAAAGATGAGGCTTTCTGCTCCATAAGGATTTATAGTCTGGGATACCTCATGAGTAAGAAGTGACTCAATGTCAGTGGGTATTTTACTCTAATCCTGTGAAACAAGGGCAGAATCTCTCTGAAAAGAATGAGGTTCTCAGCAGCAGAGTAATGCAAATCAGGATAGTCATTCAGTGGGTTCTCTCACCTGGGGCCATCAGTGTGTCTTGGCTCTCCAATCCCACGCTGGAAGGACCAGAACTCTGAGCATCCTGGGAGTCTGGAGCAAGTGGCTCCTGTGAAGATCCGGTTCTGACACTCACACCCCCAAGGAGGGATGCGGAGCTGCTCCCTAGGTGTGCAGCTGCTCGTACTACCTTTTCACTGGGAGAACGGTGAGGATCTGCATCCAAGGGTCCTTCACCTGGACTGCCTGGATGGAAGTGGCATCCTTGTTCTCCATCCTGAGAACTCCACTTGGTCTCATGTTCTCTTTCATCCTTTGGATATTTCCCATCAGTTGTTTCATCTGGACTTTCTGAATTATCACCTGTATCTTCACTTCCCGGACCTATTACCACTACTCCTTGGTGGTCTTTGTTAAGACCAGAGGCAGGGTTTGGGGTCTGATCTTTGGTGGCAGCATTCCCTGTAATTGTAGTCTTCTGTACCTGAGAATTTACTGGTGGGACAGTTTCCAAATCCTTTTGATAATCTATTAAAACAAAAAGTTATAATTTTATTTAAAAAAAAAATCCCTGTATTTTTATATTTTAACAAGGCTCCCAATTAATAGCAATATTTATAAAGATTTTTATGGTCCACAGGGCACTCTTCCTAAACATTATTTCCCTTGAGTCTCAGAAAAGCTAATTAAAACAAATAAAATTTACTATCATGTTAATAAATCTAACAAACAATATTAATGCAAAACAATTTCAAATGATATGGCTAACTTTTGGTTATATTAAATACATCCTCTTCCCTGATGAAATAACAGATCGAGGAAATGGTCATTGATGGCAAAACCATTAAGCTGAGCAGGAATTTTATAATGGGTGGAATTACCTGACCACATGTGAACCCACTGATCAATTTTAATATCACAGAAAAGACAGAAAAGCAGATACCTCCTTATGTGATGTCACATGAAGTACACTTTACCATCGATGACATACTCATGTCAAAAACTGAACCTAAATCCAATCAAGTCTCTAGATTTAACTACCAGGTTCTGAGAAATACAAGGATGAAGAAATATATTAAATTATGCCTCAATAATGTAATCAGCAAAACCCAAAGTGTGGGATATTTTTTTAATAATGGCAGTGTAGGATATTTTTTAATTAATGGCAATAAATAAAAACAAATAGCAGGGAAAGAGTAAAAGTGGAAAAAAAGGAGGTTTAATCTATGGATTGGGGTCATGGTATGGTGCTGTAGAATAAGCACTAGACTGTTATCCTCAAGGTCAGTGGTTTAAACCCACCAGCTGCTCCTCGGAAACCCTGTACGGGGTCTCCCTGAGTTAGTTAGAACTGACAACTCAACGGCACTTAACAACAACAACAAACCTATGGAATAAAAGAGGTTTAAGAGATATTACCAACCAAATGCAATGTGTGAACCTTGTTTAGATCTAGTTTCTAACAAAACAATTTAAAATCTTATGAGATAATTATGAAAATATGAATATTGGGTATTTTTGACGATACTAAAGAATTATCTTCCATCTTTTTAGATGTGACTATGCTTTTGTATTATCGTAATTATGTTTCTTTTAACCCTATCTTTTAAGGATACATATTCAGGTTTCTGTGATATCCAGAATTTGCTTCAATTTAAAGATATGGGAAAGTAAGAAATGAAATGGTACAGATGAATCAATATTAGTCATATATTGGCAGTAGTTGAAGCTATTGATGCGTATATGGGAGAATTCATTTCACATTTCTCATTTTTATATATATTTAACACTTTTTATACTAAAATTAAGACAAACAAACCTATCTTGGAAGAAGTACAGCCATCATACTCCTTAGAAGACAGGATGGTAAGATTTGTCTCTTATATTTTGGAAATGTGGTCAGGAGGGAGTAGTCTCCTCTGAAAGACATGCTTGGCAAAGTGGAGGGTCAGAGGAGAAGAGAAAGAACCCCTAGTAAGGTGGACTGACACAGTGGCAGCAACAGTGGGCTCAAACATAACAACAATTGTGAGGAGTCACAGGACTGAGCAGTGTTTTGTCCTGTTATACATAGGGTCACTATGAGTCAGAACCAACTAGATGGCAACTTACAAAAACAACAATAAATTTTTAAAAAAACAAAGCAACCCAAGAGATACATCATCTAATTGCAGTGTAGAGATCTTGTTTAAATACTGATTCAAATGAACCCAAGTGTGAAAAAAAGAGAGAGAGAGAGACACACACACACTTGGGAAAATCTGAATATTGACTAGATATGTGGGAGTATTAAGAATAATTATCATTTTATTTTTTAGGTGTGTTAATACATTGGTTATATTTTTAGAAAATAGCCCTCTAGAGATATAAACTATTTTAGTGCGATTTACACTAAAATAATCCAGGGCAAGTAACAAGATGGGCCTTCAGTTGTTGATAAAATTCAATGTTGGGTACATTGGGGGTTCGTTATAGTGTTCTAAACCCAGTGCCATCGAGATGATTCTGACTCACAGCGATCTACACTGCTCTACTTTTGCATGTTTTAAAACTTCCATAATATATGGAAATACATTTTTTAAAAAAGTATATTTTCCTTCTCTATTTCATAGTTTGCCTATTTCATATCTTGTACAGTATGTTAAAAGAATAAATTTTATCCTCTATAATTCAAAGATCTCCTCTAGATATAGCATGCTACACTTACATAACTTACTATTAAGAATTATTGTATTACTTAATGAAGTATTATAAATTAATTGATAATATAAATATAACTCTAAAGATCAGTCTACCTCCTTTTTTTGAGCTGCATTATATATTTTTCACAACTATTGGCTCCTATTGGAGTCTCTAAAACATTTTTATTCCTTATTTATGATTTAGGGTCTGATATTATGGTGGTTGTTATTAAGAGCTGTCAAGTCAGTCCAACTCACAGCGACCCTCTATAGGGTTTCGGAGGAGCGGCTGGTGGGTTTGACCCACCAATCATGTGATTAGCAGTCCAGTGCTTAATCTACAGTGTCACATTAAGACTCTTACATGATGGTAAAATTCAGAAAATATCAAGGAAAAAGAGCATTACAAATTAATCACAATTATGTTAATTGAATCAGCTTCTTTTTCACTTGAAAACTCACGTTTTAGTCACCACAGATTTTCTCTTATACTGTGCCCTAGTTCCCTTCACAACAATCTCAGTGCTGCATAAACTACTCTTACCTTCTTGAGTATCACTAAGCCCACTGTCGGTCATGATGATTATGTTCTAGCTCCTTCCAAGTGTGGTATACTTTTTGTTAGTGTCTGGCTTTCTTTGTGAAGATGTCTTGTTTTCTTCTTGGCCCAGATTCCAACAGACTCATGCTTCCCGAGGACCCAGGAAATAAGGCATAGAGGCAGTGACTAAAAGAAAAAAAAAAAAAATGATGACTTTTTACACATTGAAGGTGAAAATATCAATTTCGGCTTTATCAAATAAATCTTTCCTTTTTAGTAAATAGTTCCTGTTATTTTTGTAGTAAGGAAAAAATGCTTTCATGAGGATCTTACTCCATTTCCTAGACTACAAACAGAAAAATCCCTCTAGGCTATCAGCCTTGCACAGATACCTTAATCTCCTAATACATTCCAGTGTGGTTGACAAAATGTAAAATAAGTCCAAGTGACCAGGATCTTAAGGAGAACAGCTTTTACATGGAAATAAAAAACTCTTAAGAGTAGACATGTAAATCACTGCTGAAGTATTAACTGCAATAGATTTCCCTTATGTTGTCAATTTCTGTCCCATGTAATTTTCTCATAGTCGGCCTATCAGGAATGTTCATTTGTCATCAAACATTAACAATGAAACGAACGGCTGCTTCCTACAAACTAAGATGGCTGCCTTGAAGTATTAGGAAAAACATGACCTTTAAATACATATTTGAAGTTATGTCACTGCCTTCTTAGTGGTTTTCTCACAGCAGTTTTGTGTGTGTGTGTTTTGTAAAATATGAAGGCAAATATTGCTTATGCAGTGCCTTTTTTTGTAATGCCCAAAGAAGACTGACAGAAAAATTATTATGAACTATCCAAAAGGATTGATAAGAGTAGTGAATTAGCTGGGCTGCTAACCACAAGGCTAGCAGTTCAAATCTAGCAGCCAATCTGTAGGAGAAAAATGAGGCTTTCAGCGCCAGTTAAGATTTATAGCCTCAGAATCCTTATATAGGGTCACTATGAGTCTGAACTGACTCGACAGCACACAATCACCACTACCAAAAAAACCCCAGCCAAACTCAGGCCAAAAGTTTATTCGTTAAGAATCCTAGCCACTATCTACATCCAGGGAGCACAGTGGTTCTGCAGGATAAGTGCTGGACTGAGACCCACAAGGTTAGTGGTTAGAGCCCACTAGCCACTCCACAGGAGAAAAACAAGGCTTTCTGCTCCTGCAAAGATTTACAGCCTTGGAAACTCTATATAGGGTCGCTGAGTCAGAAGAGATTAGACACAACCATCACCACCACTGCCATACAAAAGGAAAGAAGTGCTGGTGGCACTGTAGGATAAGCACCAGACTACTAATGCCAAGGTAGGCAGTTCAAATTCATTAGCTACCCCATGGGAGAAAAATGAGGCTTTCTGCTCCGGTAAAAATTTGTTGCTGCTAACTGCCGTCAAGTTGGTTCCAACTCATATACAGTTTCCAAGGAGTTGCTGGTAGGTTTGAACTGCTGACCTTGTGGTTTACAGTCCAGTGCTGATCCTACAGTGCCACACCAGGATTTAGAGCCTCAGAAATCCTATATAGAGTCTCTATGGTCAGGATCAACTAGGTGTCAGTGAATGAGTGAGTTAGGAAGGAATAAAAGGAATAAAATTCGATACAACATATAGGTCATAAAAATTAATCATACCCAAGTTGACAGCAGCAACTCCAAGGTTAGATTAAGAAACTGGGGCAAGTAAGTTTAAAACGAGGGAGAACAATTTGGGAAAGGAAGGTGAGAATGGTCAAATTGAAAGAATGTGAACAGTGACACATTGTACATTTAGACATTGTTGAATTGATCCTAAGTATATTTTCAACAACAACAAAAAATCCAAAATAAATTATTTTAAAAATAATATCATATAGGGAAATCTTAATGTCAAAAGCAAGACTACCCAAATTTATCAGTAAATTATGTAACCTTTATTCTCTGTAAAAATGAGATTAAGGGTTGTTGTAAGAATTAAGTACTAAAATATATGTGAAAGAGCTTTGTAAAGTAATGGGTCCTGATGCAGTACTGACAGCTCACCACAAGGTCAGTAGTTCAAACCCACCAACTGCTCCTCAGAGACCCTACACAGATCACTATGAGTCGGAATCAGCTTGATGGCACTTAACAACGGTGAGAAGGTATCTACTAAACTGAGTGCTTTCCACACAGCATTATTTTATTTAAGTAAAACTCAGTTTTACCAATTAGAATGTTTGATCCCAAATGCCTAACACAGTGCCTGGTGTGTAGTAAAAACTGTGTAAAAGCATGTAAATAAATTAACGAATATATGAGTGAAGAGTAACGGCATGTATAAACTAGGAGGGAAGGGTGGAGTTAGGGCTAGGCCCTCCTTCTGCTAGGAACACGTCTCAGACTTGGAGGGTGTCCTGCCATCCCTTTTATCTTCTTCAAGTTCCTGAGATTGGACTTCCAACTTTCATTTTCATTGCTATCACATCCTAGCTTGGTTCATGACAGAAAATACAGTCTCCACCTGACTCATATGTCTTCCATAACAACAATACCTCGAGATCAACCGAGATATAGAAGTATCCAAAGTAAGATAAAAAATGTACAAGACTATAAATAGGGAACCAGTGATGTGTTTGTAATGAAGACAATTACAAAGTAAAAAGAGGGAATCGTGTAGTTAAAAAAAACTCCAAATAAAGAGGAAGTATCATGATAAGCTATGGACAACATTGCAAAGTATAAATATTCCAGAACACTTAATTGTGCTCATCAGGAATCTGTACATGGACCAAGAGGCAGTTGTTCGAACAGAACATGGGAACAGTGAATAGTTTAAAATTAAGAAAGCTATGCGACACGGTTGTATTCTTTCACCATACTTATTCAACTTGTATGCTGAGCAAATAATCCGAGAAGCTGGGTTATATGAAGAAAAATATGGCATCTGGATTGAAGGAACACTCATTAACAACCTACGATATGCAGATGTTACAACCTTGCTTGCAGAAAGTGAAGAGGACTTAAAATATTTACTGATGAAGATCAGAGAGCACAACCTTCAGTATGGATTGCATCTCAATGTAAAGAAAACAAACATCCTCACCACTGGACCAATAAACAACATTCTTATCAATGGAGAAAAGATTCGAGTTGTCAAGGACTTCATTCTTCTTGGATCAACTATCAACATTCATGGAAGCAGCAGTTAAGAAATCAAAGGACGTATTGCATTAGGCAAATCTGCTGCACAAGACCTTTTTAAAGTGTTGAAAAGCAAAGATGTCAGTTTGAAGACTAAGGTGCGCCTGACCCAAGCCATGGTATTTTCAATAACCTCAAACGCAAGCAAAAGCTGGACATTGAATAAGGAAAACTATAGAAGAATTGATGCTTTTGGGTTATGGTGTTGGGGGAGAATATTGAAAGTGCCATGGGCTGCCAAAAGAACCTACAGATCTGTGTTGGAAGAAGTGCTTTCAGAGTGCTCCTTGGAGGCCAGGATGGCCAAACTTCGTCTCTCATACTTCAGACCTATTGTCAGTAGGGACCAGTTTGTAGGGTGGAGGGTCAGAGAAAAAGAGGAAGACATCCAGTGAGATGGATTGGTAAAGTGGCAGCATCAATGGGCTCAAGTGTGGCAACAATAGTGAGGTTGGCCCAGGATCGGGCCTGTTTTGTTTTGTTCTGTTGTGCATAATGTCGCTATGAGTCAGTACCAACTCAATGGTACCTAACAACAACAACAAAATAAACTTCAAGAAAGAACAGACTGTTTTAAACTTGGGAAGAAATTGATGCATGTTACTTGGGAGAAGGGAATGCAATATGCAATAAGAGGGAGGATGACAAAATTGATGGAGGCAGGGGAAGACAGTGGGAGGAGAGCAAGAATTAAAAGCCAAAGAGATAAATACTGTCATATACACAGGCATGCAATAACAATGCATGGCTAAATACACAGGCTGAATGGGTGTGGGGGAGAGTGGGAGTATAATATATATATATATATTTACCAGAGCATATTTGCACATGGATATTTACTTTTGCTACAAATATAACCATGTGTGTGTGTAGCATGCAGAAGACAAAGTTATGTAAAGTTTTTAGACATCATCAAACTCTTGAGGGAATGAGGCACTGGGTCTGGGAGTTCAAGATCATAGTCTCAAGGACAGCATGGTCAACTGGCATAATATAGTACAACTGAGTAGTGACTGGGTTTTAAAAGCTCATAAGTAGCCATTTAAGGTACAACTACTGGCCTCTCCCCATCCAGAAGAAAGAAGAGTGAATAAAATTGGTGATGCAAAGAAACAGTTAACCCAATGGACGTATGGTCTACTCAAACAGCAACTTCCACAACCCAAAGACCAGAAGAACTAGATGTTGCCAAGTTACCACTACCAACTGCCCTGGAAGGGATCACATTAGAAGGTCCTGGGAAAGGGAAAGAAAATTTAGAACAAAACTCAAAATCATAAAAAAAGATCAGGCTTACTAGTGGGACAGAAACTGGTACGACCCCTACGACTATCATGCTTAGTCACCCTTCAGGTCCGGAACTGAACTCACCCCCACGGCCAATTTGTAGTCATAGACAGGTCTGTAATGTTGCAGAATAATGCTACTGAGACACACACACCTGAGAATAATCAATCATTTGAGATCCAAAGGGCAGCAGCTACCCAATGACAAAGTTCGGAAGAGTTAGGAAAGAAGGAAGAATGGAAATGGGAAACATTTTAAGTGACATCATAGTGAGGGGACCGCAATCAAAGAGGTGAAATAAAATGTGTCTAAATAGTTGAATGTAAAATGGGAGGAAGTGGGTAAGTGATGTTACATTGAGGGGGCTGTAATCAATGAGATGAAACAAAATGTGTGTGAATTATTGAATGTAAAACATACGATCTGCTCTGTAAACCTTCACCCAATTCACAATAAAAAGGTTTTTTTGAAACCTATATTTAAGAACATTATCCTTGGTAAACTTAATTCCAAACATACTTGACCACTGTCAGAAATGTAA